GATGAGCTGGTCGTAGGGGGCCGGCTTGTCGCACACGGGGCACATCCAGGTGGGCTTCTTCTCGTTCATCTGGAGGTAGAAGACGGCGTCGAAGCACTGTAGGTGGGCGCAGGTCTCCGCCCGGCAGGGCACAGACAGCCGCATCTTCACCAGCTGCGGGGAGGGGGCCGGCAGGGTGAGCAGGCCGCGCGGCCCGGCGCTGCCCCACCCCGCGGCGGGCGAGGGGACAGGCCGCGCGCACCCCGACTCACCGGGCAGATGAGGGAGACCCGCACGCCCGTGGTGGCGATCTCGCTGTCAGGGTCCAGGCGCAGCTTCTCTTTGACTGCGGGGGAGGGGTGGCCGTTGTCAGTCTGCGGGGCTGGAGCCGAGGGGCGGGGCCCTCCCGCACCGGCCAATGCTGCCGGCTGCACACGCCACCCCCGCGTCAGGCGCCCCCACTTCCACCCTCCCAGGACGAAGAGGTGCGTTGCGGCCGTAGCGCCCAGGGCCGCGGAGGTCACCCGGAAAGCACCCCGGGCAGCGGCCGGCCATGCTGGATAAGCCGGCGCCCGGACCCCGCGGCGGGTTTTTACGGACCACAGGCTTCTTCGGGAAGAAACGTGGCGGCAACCGACAGCTGCCAACGGGGCGGCTCCCCGTGACTGGGAGTCCCCACGAAGCCATCCCCGGAGGACTCGGCGAGGACGGGGGGGGCGGGGGGGGGCGGGGGGGGCGCGGGGAGGGGGTGAGGATGGTCATGGCAGCCTGCGCACGCGCTGGGGGGGCGGGGCTAGCACCGATGCCCCCCCCCCCCCCCCCCCCCCCCCCGGCCCACCCCCCCCAGGGGCGGGGCGAGAAGTCTACGTCTCAAAAAAGGAAAAGGCGGCCAGTGCCCACCACAAGCCAACCCCCTCCTGGAAAGACTCCACGGCAACGTGCAAGGCCCCCTTCTCGACGGTGAACGCGGCACGGGAGGCACTGGAAGGACACTCAAGCGCGGCAAACCCTGGGGCGGCCCGCAGGCTCCCTCCCTCCGGAGCTTTTTGGCCAGAACCGGGAGACTGGCCAGACCGGCTGCCAGACCCCAGCCCTTGAAGACTCAGGACAGACGGCCCGGAGCCGCCCCGCCCTCCTCCACGCTGGGTGGAGGGTGCTCATCCCCACTCCACTCTCCCGAACTGTCCCGAAGGCCACGTGGGTCCCTCACACCTGGCCGTGAACTTCGCCTCAGAGGTGCATCGGTTTGGAGCAAGGCCGCCTCCCCCCGCCCGACCCAACAGAGACAAAACTGGGCGTAGCAAGGAGGCCACAGGTGAGACCAAGTACAGGACTTCCCGTGCAACCAGCCAGCGGCCCAGAGGCCCAGCCTGGCGCTGGCTTCAGAGAGGAAGCCTGACCATGGGCTCTGAGCCGGCCGAGTCAGCCCCACCCACACCGGCCCCTGCGCACCGGGGAACAGCAGGGTTCCCCCCCCCCCACCCGTCGCCCACGAGGTCAGCCAGACGTCCAGGCCCCCGCCCCCGCCCCCGCCCCGTGGGCTGCCGCCTACATGAATGCCGCCCAGTCCCTTGCCGATGCCTGCCCCCCGCCTGCATGGCCAGAATGCTGCTGGGGGCCTGCCTCCCGTGCTCAAGCTGGCCATTGTCCCCACAGGGAGACAGGCAGGTAGGGGGGCGGTTTCGAAGAAAGGGCTCTTTCAGGGAAGTGGGAGGCGGCGGGGTGGGGCGCACGGGCCAAGGCCCTGCCGCTCGGCACCTCAGTGTCCCCAACGGTCAAACGGGGACGTCGCCAAGCCCCCCGGCCCAGGGCCATCGTGGGCATCTGGTCGGAAGCTGTGGCAACCAGAGAGGGCCACTGACTTGCCTGAGGCTACACAGCCGCCAAGCAGATGGAAGTTCCTGCTGTGGGCTGGGCAGCCCCTGAGCGCAGGGACACAGGAGGAGAGACAGGACCTGCTGTCTGCCTGTCTGGGGAGCGGTTCGCTTTCAGTGCTCCCTGTGTCCCGTCCCCCCTCCCTGAACACGACCAGTCTTGCTGTCTGAGGTCAGACTGTGTCACTGCCCGGGGTCCACAACTGCAAACTGGGTCTGCTCCTGCTCTCCGTGTCCCTGGCCCCCACCCAGCAGTCAGAGGCATCTGCCTGGAACCCCCATCTCCAGGGACGTGCCTGGCTCGGGGCTGTGGGAACGGCCCCCAGGTGCTCACCCTGCCAGGATGCTGGCGGGCTTCACCCCGAGCTCTCACAGCCCCGGGCTCGCCGGGCTAGAGAGCACACCTCCCTCATCCCTGCCTCATCTGTGACTGGCTCCGCTCCTCCTCCCACGCTCCCCGGGGTGATGCATGGATGCTGGGGCGCGCCCCTCCCACGAGCTCACCCAGCGCCTTGCACAGCTCTGGATGCTTCACCCCGATGGTTTTCAACCTCTGCAGCAGCTCCGAAGAGGTCAGCTGTCGCACCAAGTACAAGGCCACGGAGTAGCTCTGGGGATACAGGTGGGGGAGGGGCTGTCAGGGCCGGCCAGGGCCCCCCTGGGGGGAGCGGGGGGGTGGTGGCGGGCAGGCGGGCAGCGCCCGAACCCTACTCACCTTGCCATAGTTCCCCCAGGTGACGGTGATGCGGTTGGTGGCCGAGGAAAGGTACATGAGGTGGGTGAGGTTGATGGGGCGACACGGCCTCTTGGGCTCCACTCCAGGCTTATTCGAGGGGTAGTAGCCCTGGAAGCAGCCATGGGGGCTCACACCGCGGAAGATGCTCCTTCCGCACCCTCAGCCCCGCCCCCGAGAGCAGGCCCAGGGCTGCCGGGGCGCCCCGCTCACCGGGACGGAGCAGTAGCTGTGGTTGACCTTCACGGCGATGTTGGGTGGGTACTGGTCCTCCTGGGGGCCGCTGGTGTCCGAGTAGCAAATTCTGCAATGGCAGCGGAGCCCATCAGGCCGTGAAAGGGGGCTCTGGATGGAGGGGTGGCCCTGAGAGGGGTGGGAGGGTGGACGTGGGGCCAGGGCGGAGGCCACAGGGGCCACGTCTGCCCGGCAGGTGGATCGCCGTTCTGCACGGTACGGGGGGGGGGGGGGGGGGGGGGGGGCCCCCCCCGGGGGGGGGCGGGGGGCCCGGGGGGGGTTGTGGGCACG